TAGCTCCTCAGAGACAAGCAACCATCAACAGCCATTGTCCAGCAAGAGAGCTACAATTCAATGACTCACCTGTATAAGGTCAAACCAGGAAAATTGCTCAAACCATGCCTGGGGACTCAGCAATGCCCACCAGACATGCCTGGGCTTGTGTTCTCCAAGCACATGGACTAAGGGTATACAACAGAACACAGGGGCCTCATGCTTGGCCTTTCTCCTGCCCCCACCTATGCTGCAAGCAACCAGGAGACTCAAAAGACTGAAGACTCCAACAGAGGAGACTGGCCTAGGTTTAAGAGACAAACCTGTATATTAAGGACTGCAATATCCAGTGGGGTGAGAAAAACCGCTTAATCTAGATCAGCGTTTTTCAAAGTTTGGGTCGCGACATGTTAGGCACTGGGTCACTCTGGTCAGCACCGCTGACTGGGACATTAAAAGTCCCATTGGCGGTGCTGCCCAGCTAAGGCTGGCTAGTGCCTACCTGCTCCGACACCCCACTGCGCCCCGGAAGCGGCCAACAGCAGGTCCGGTTTCTAGGCGGGGGGCCACGGAACACAGCACGCACCCGCGCCCCGAGCATTGGCCAGGAACCGGGCAATTGGAGCTGGGGAGATGGCGGTGGCTCCACCTAGGAGCTGGACCTGCAGCTGACTGTTTCAGGCACAACGCGGTCCGTGGTGCCAGGACAGGCGGAAAGCCTGCCTCTGCACCCCGGCTGCACCACTGACAGAGAGCCACAGGAGGTAAGTTTGAGCCCCAGCCCTGCGCCCCAATCCCCTGCCCCAGCCCTGAGCCTCCCCAAACCTGGAACCCCTTCCTGCACCCCAAACTCCCCATCCCTGGCCCCATCCCAGAGCCTGCACCCCCAGTCCAGGGCAAGATGGTATATTCCTGAGGTACAGAGCTGGGGGGATTTCGCTCTGGTGCCTTTCCCTGTGTGATTCGTGAGTGGCTCTGGGAGCATTCAGGCAATCTAGCTGGGTGTGGGGCTCCACATGCGGTTGTGCTGAGTGATCACAGCGCCTGGAGGGGTTTGCTGCTTGTCACTAGCAAAGCATTGTGAGAGACAGCCCAGGCTGGAGAGAGTTAAGGAGACACAGCAGTCCCATGGTCCCAGTCTGCACACCGGGGACCCTATCACAGAAGTTACTTACCTTAGAATAACTGTGGTTCTTTGAGACATGTTGTCCACATGAGTTCCACTCTTGGCATGCAAGATTGGATTATCAAAGCCAGCAGTGCCTGTACCCCAGCTCAGGGGGTCTCAACCTTTTTCTCCCTGAGGCCCCCCCTCAACTTGCTATAAAAACGCCAGGGCCTGGCGGGGGTTAGGGGGGAAGGAGCATGGGGCTCCAGGCCTGGGCGGACCTTTGGGCATAGGCATAGTTTTACTTCTATTTGTGGGGGAGGCAAAGGCTGGCAGGGCTCAAGCCAGCTCCGCACAGCAGGGTCCAGGGAGGAAGCGCCACCTCCACTCCCTGACTCACTCAGGAGGCCATCCAGCCTGTGCTCTGGGGAGGCACAACCAAAAACATAAGAACATAAGAACGGCCATACTGGGTCAGACCAAAGGTCCATCCAGCCCAGTATCTTGTCTACTGACAGTGACCAATCCCTGGTGCCCCAGAGGGAGTGAACCTAACAGGTAATGATCAAGTGATCTCTCTCCTGCCATCCATTTCCACCCTCTGACAAACAGAGGCTAAGGACACCATTCCTTACCCATCCTGGCCAATAGCCATTAATGGACTTAACCTCCATGAATTTATCCAGTTCTCTTTTAAACCCTGTTATAGTCCTAGCCTGCAAAACCTCCTCAGGCAAGGAGTTCCATAGGTTGATGTACGCTGAGTGAAGAAGAACTTCCTTTTATTTGTTTTAAACCTGCTACCCATTAATTTCATTTGGTGACCCCTAGTTCTTATATTATGGGAACAATTAAATAAGCTTTGGACTTAACTATCTTGAGTCATTTTGTACCATCTGTAAACTTTGCCCCCCTCACTGTTTACCCCCTGTGATGTTGCACTCTATATGATTTTATAAAAATATGCTAATGAGTGTGAATATAATGTAACTGGGGTATGCTTCATGCAAAAGGTCTCTTGTAAGGTATCATTACAAAGCTTATAATCTACTGAATGTGTTCATCCTATTTGTATGAATGTATCATTCTTGTATCTGAAACTAGAAATTTAAAATATAACTCTGAGGGCCTATTGTAATTATGCAAAGTGTGGGCCATTAATGGTGGTTTGGATTCTTGATGGCTCCCATTAACCAGGACAATTGACTGCAGATGGCTCTGTTTTACTTGTAAGTCTTCCTGTATATGTGTGCGCTGGCAAGTGGGTAATGAAGTCTTACAGTGACATGTGATCATGTCACCTGAACTGGAATCCATCTTTAACCTGGTGCTTTTCCATCGAGAAGGAGGGGTGGGAACCCAGAGGGACAAAGAATTCCTGCCTTATGCAAAAGATATATAAGTGGGTGGAACAGAACAAAGGGGGCGGCCATCATGAGAAATCCCCTAGCTACCACCTGAGCTGGAACAAGGGCTGAACCAGGGGAAAGGATTGTGCCCAGACTAGGAAGGCATCCAGTCTGAGAAAGAAACTTATTGAAACATCTCTGAGGGTAAGATTTTATCTCTATTCAGTTTTATTACCATATTAGGCTTAGACTTGCGTGTTTTATTTTATTTTGCTTGGTAATTCACTTTGTTCTGTCTGTTACTACTTGGAACCACTTAAATCTTACTTTCTGTATTTAATAAAATCATTTTTTACTTACTAATTAACCCAGAGAATGTATTAATACCGGGGGGGGGGGAGAGGAGGGAGGGCAAACAGCTGTGCATATCTCTCTATCAGTGTTATAGAGGGCGAACAATTTATGAGTTTACCCTGTATAAGCTTTACACACGGTAAAATGAATTTATTTGGGGTTTGGACCCCACTGGGAGTTGAGCATCTGAGTGTTAAAGACAGGAACACTTCTTAAGTTGCTTTCAGTTAAGTCTGCAGCTTTGGGGCCCGTGGTTCAGACCCTGGGTCTGTGTTGGAGCAGACTGGCGTGTCTGGCTCAGCACGACAGGGTGCTGGAGTCTCGAGCTTGCAGGGAAAGCAGGGGCAGAAGTAGTCTCAGCACATCAGTTGGCAGTTCCCAAGGAGGTTTCTGTGATCCAACCTGTCACATCCCCTTTCCCAGATCATTTATGAATATGTTGAATAGCACTGGTCCCAGTAGACATGCTTGGGGGACTCTGCTATTTACCATACCATGCTGCTATGTCCAGCAGTTTCTATGATTTCTCTTTTAACACCTCCAGTTGAAAGTCAAGAGCCTCTGCTATGCATTTCATAAGATCTTAGGGTCCCTTAAAATAGTTGTCTGAAGAAGATGTAGAGGATGAGGAAATTTCAGATGGGATTAATTGTTCTCCTTCATCTGCATGATCTTCATTGCTCTCCTCCTCCTGTCTCTAGCATCTGAGGCTACGGTAATTGACCAGTCTGAGAAGGTCTATTCTGTCTCTGGGGAGAAAGGGATCTAGTCCTGGGGCGAGGGGTGGGAGGCAGTAGACACTGGCTTGCAGGTATGGGATCACATGCCCCATGGTGTCCAGTAAGGCCAAGGTCAATAGGCATATGGATACTGCACTGGAAGACATACCAGGGGGCCTATTAGATTCGTGCCATTTCCTATCATGAGACCAGTCCCTAGAGTCCCTCCCAGGTTCCCACTGTAATCCCCATAGAAGGGAGGGAGGGCGAGCAAGTGGGAGATGAGCCCCTACTGTGCGTTGACTGTGAGAATGAAAAGGAGTACTCCTGCTCTGAAGGTGGGGCTAAACTTTCAAGTGTACAATGTCCCCTCCACTCTGGTATTGATCGAGTTTGTACTGCTGACACTTATCATCTGCAGTACAGAGGTCTTGGTGACTAGTGGTCTAGCCAGCCTCACCTTCAACCTATCTAGCAATGTCGACTCCAGTACCTGGCCTATAGCTAAATCGCTTGGTACCATATATGCTCTAGGTATGGACAGGGACTGTACCTATGCACTGGGTACCCATGAAAAGTCACTGGAGCGATTAGTACATTGCGGTTGGCACTGGAAGAAGGGCCGGCCACATGTTTCGTGGGTATCACTGGTACCTGTTTAACTGTCAGCACCGAGGTGTAAGAGGGACTTTTGTCAGGCTATTGGCTGCTCTTTGACTGTTAAGCCTGAGATGACGGAGATGCTTGCAGACTAACAAACAACTAATTAATAATACTAAGAACTTGTCTACCCGGCAAGTTAACATATGGGAAGCCAGGGTGTGAATCTACAGTGCACTAGCTTGCCACGCATTAACTCACTGCGTGGCCAAGTCCTAAGAACTTTAACACTAATGCTGGCAGGACACTGCAGGGATTCTGTCTCACTACCATTAGTGGTAGGAAGGAACTGAGGGACAGAAGGGCACCTCCACACTTGATGGCCTTGGGTTGGGGGGAGGCAAGGGCATCCAGAGCACAAGCATGGCCCCAATGGACTCTGCTGGCCAAAAGAATCCAGTCTCATATGCATGGTACACATGTGCACAAAGACTACAATCCATGTGGACAAACACATGAAGAAACCACTTGATTACTGTGCTGGGGATTCTGCTAGTGGAGGACTTAACACAGCCCCTCCTAACTATTTACCACCTTGGAGATCTCTCCCACATGGATATCAATTCTGGACCCCCAATGGACTGTCTTAGGGGTTAATTACCTACCAAGGATTGAACCTTGCCCTCTTATCCCCACTACAGCAAGTACGGCAGTATGAGTTGAGTACTGAAGTGTGATTAGACATATAACACATTAGCTGACCCCACGGTCTGGCCAAGCTATCTTTCATAACACTGTTTATACAGGTTGCAGTGAGTCTTGTTCTATTGAATCTCAGGCAGTTCCCATTTCAGTTGTGGCCTATTTCCTTCCACCACCACAATTTCGTACCTTGCAGTTGGGATTGGCTCCATTTTCTATCAGCAGCTTGACAGCATTGGGGTGGCCACCTCCTGCTGCCTCTGAAAGGGGCGTGTTCCCATTGGAGTCAGTGCACTCCACCATGTTGATGTGATTACAGAGACGCGTGGCCTTCCCTTTTTCATCGGTACCCACACCATTCTTAGTATCCAAATCTGACACCTGGAGAGAGACAGACAAATGGAGAAGATAAACATGGAGAATGGGAAAAGAATGCCTTCTGCTCTGGGTACCCCTGGGAATTATGTATTATCTGAAAGATTAGTGAAGAAAGATTTTTTGCATACAGTTTATTTACATTGTGAAGTTTCAGGTGTTTTCCAGACACACACAAAGCATACTCCCGGCATCGAAGAGCTCACGATCAAAGCAGGCAATCAAAGCAGGCAAAAAGAGATTAGAGGCAGGAAGAGACAAACACAGCATGATGCAACCCAGATGGATGGCAAACACCTTACTAGCTCCCTACTTCATTTATGTTTTGTCCTTTGTTACCTAATGAACAAGTCTCTGAGGGGAGGAACCAGGACGCTTGGGGCCTCTTGCATAAAGCATATTTCAGAATGAACCATTTCTACAGCCTTCAACAATGGACTATGATCCAAATCAATAAATTTGGAAATGAACAGAGCTCCCAGAAAAGGGCATGAGGTCCCTCCCTCTCTTATGTGTATTCCTATGGAACCTCTCCCCTGCCAAGTACTAACTTCCTTTAGCACAGCCTTCATCTCTTCCACATCCCCATCAAATGCCGCCTCCAGCATCCGTTTCTTCCTTTGTTGTATTTCTTGCTGCTTCTTCCTTTTTTCTTCCTCTTTCTGTCTCTCCCGTTCAGCTTCTTCCTGCTCCTTCTTCACCATTGCAATGAAGGCCTGCAATAAAACCAGTCATTACAACTCAAAACTCAAAGGGACTCTCAGCCATGTGCACGAGAAGACAGAGGATCCAAGCACCCACATGGAAAGAAAAGTGGGCTGAAGTAGGGTTGCTAACCCTCTCAGATTGGCCGGGAGTCTCCCGGAATCGGCCTCAATCTCCCAGTGACTATTAAAGGCAATCCAGGAGATTTTAATAGGCCAAAGTCTGGTCACCAGCACAGTGTGGCTAAGGCAGACTCCCTACCTGCTCTGGCTCCACGCAGCTCCCGGAAGCAGCTGACATGTTCAGCTCCTAGGCGCAAGGGTGGCCAGCGGGTCTCTGCGCGTTTGCACCCACCCTGAGCGCTGACTCTGCAAAGCCCATTGGCCAGGAACTGTGGCCAATGGGAGCTGTGGGGGCAGTGCCTGCAAGCAGGGGACGGTGCGCAGAGCCGCCTGGCCGCCCCTGAGCCTAGAAGCCAGACATGCTGTCCGCTTCTGGGAGCCGCACAAGGTAAGCGCCGCCTGGCTGGAGCCTGCACTCCTTGCCCCCTCCTGCACTCCTACCCTAGCCCTGAGCCCCCTTCCACACCCAAACTCCCTCCCAAAGCCTGCATCCCCTCCCACATCCAGCCCTGACCCCCCTCCCTCAACCAAACTCTGCCCCAGAGCCTGAACCCCGTGGGCCCCTGTTGCCCCTGCCTCTCACATTCATTTGTGGCCACTATTACCAGCGATCCCAGTGGAGGGTGGGTGTAGAGGTATTCGTACCCTTTTGAAGGCATGAAGTACTTCTTCTCCATTCTTTTTGCTGTGGAGGGCAAAGATGCTGGAGTCTGCCACAATATTTTGGTCATGTCCTGGATTGTCTTTATTAATGACAGGGCAAGCCATGAAGGGCCAGCCAGGGTCAAGATGCCCACCATGAGGTCTGAGGACTCTGACACCTCCTCTACCTGGAGCCCCAGGTTTTGGGCCACCCTCTTCAGGAGCACCTGGTGAGCCCTGCTATCATGGGCAGATGCTGCAGAGGTCCCCACCACCGCTTCATTGAGAGACGAAGAGTAAGATGCTCAGGCCACTATGGGATAAAGAACCAACCTTCCACACAAACTTCCTCGTGGCTGGATTTTACTAAAACTAGACAAGCCATTTACAACGCACACTTTGCTTCTCTACAAAAGAAAAAGGACACTAAACTTTCTAAACTACTACATGCTACAAGGGGCCACAGCAATGGTTCCCTCACCCCACCTAGCAACATTGTTAACCTATCCAACTATACTCTCAGCCCAGCAGAAGCAGCTGTTCTATCTCGGGGCCTCTCCTTCTGCCCCTCCACCCCCACGAACATGATACAGTTCTGTGGTGACCTAGAATCCTATTTTCGACGTCTCCATCTCAAGGAATATTTCCAAAATACCTCTGAACAACATACTAATCCACAGAGGTCTCCCTGCCAACACTACAGAAAGAGGGATTCTAGATGGACTCCTCCTGAAGGTCGAAACAGCAGACTGGACTTCTACATAGAGTGCTTCCGCCGACGTGCACGGGCTGAAATTGTGGAAAAGCAGCATCACTTGCCCCATAACCTCAGCCATGCGGAACGCAATGCCATCCACAGCCTCAGAAACAACTCTGACATCATAATCAAAAAGGCTGACAAAGGAGGTGCTGTTGTCATCATGAATAGGTCGGAATATGAACAAGAGGCTGCTCGGCAGCTCTCCAACACGAGTTTCTACAAGCCATTACCCTATGATCCCACTGAGAGTTACCAAAAGCAACTACAGCATTTGCTCAAGAAACTTCCTGAAAAAGCACAAGATCAAATCCGCACAGACACACCCCTGGAACCCCGACCTGGGATATTCTATCTACTACCCAAGATCCATAAACCTGGAAATCCTGGGCGCCCCATCATCTCAGGCATTGGCACCCTGACAGCAGGATTGTCTGGCTATGTAGACTCCCTCCTCAGGCCCTACGCTACCAGCACTCCCAGCTACCTTCGAGACACCACTGACTTCCTGAGGAAACTTCAATCCATCGGTGATCTTCCTGATAACACCATCCTGGCTACTATGGATGTAGAAGCCCTCTACACCAACATTCCACACAAAGATGGACTACAAGCCGTCAAGAACGCTATCCCCGATAATGTCACGGCTAACCTGGTGGCTGAACTTTGTGACTTTGTCCTTACCCATAACTATTTCACATTTGGGGACAATGTATACCTTCAGATCAGCGGCACTGCTATGGGTACCCGCATGGCCCCACAGTATGCCAACATTTTTATGGCTGATTTAGAACAACGCTTCCTCAGCTCTCGTCCCCTAAAGCCCCTACTCTACTTGCGCTATATTGATGACATCTTCATCATCTGGACCCATGGAAAAGAAGCCCTTGAGGAATTCCACCATGATTTCAACAATTTCCATCCCACCACCAACCTCAGCCTGGTCCAGTCCACACAAGAGATCCACTTCCTGGACACTACAGTGCTAATAAACAATGGCCACATAAACACCACCCTATACCGGAAACCTACTGACCGCTATTCCTACCTGCATGCCTCCAGCTTTCACCCTGACCACACCACACGATCCATCGTCTACAGCCAAGCTCTGCGATACAACCGCATTTGCTCCAACCCCTCAGACAGAGACAAACACCTACAAGATCTCTGTCAAGCTTTCTTACAACTACAATACCCACCTGCAGAAGTAAAGAAACAGATTGATAGAGCCAGAAGAGTTCCCAGAAGTTACCTACTACAGGACAGGCCTAACAAAGAAAATAACAGAACGCCACTAGCCGTCACCTTCAGCCCCCAACTAAAACCCCTCCAACGCATTATTAAGGATCTACAACCTATCCTAAAGGATGACCCAACACTCTCACAAGTCTTGGGAGACAGGCCAGTCCTTGCCTACAGACAGCCCCGCAACCTGAAGCAAATACTCACCAACAACCACATACCACACAACAGAACCACTAACCCAGGAACTTATCCTTGCAACAAAGCCCGTTGCCAATTGTGCCCACATATCTATTCAGGGGACACCATCACAGGGCCTAATAACATCAGCCACACTATCAGAGGCTCGATCACCTGCACATCCACCAATGTGATATATGCCATCATGTGCCAGCAATGCCCCTCTGCCATGTACATTGGTCAAACTGGACAGTCTCTACGTAAAAGAATAAATGGACACAAATCAGATGTCAAGAATTATAACATTCATAAACCAGTCGGAGAACACTTCAATCTCTCTGGTCACGCAATCACAGACATGAAGGTCGCTATCTTAAAACAAAAAAACTTCAAATCCAGACTCCAGCGAGAAACTGCTGAATTGGAATTCATTTGCAAATTGGATACTATTAATTTAGGCTTAAACAGAGACTGGGAGTGGCTAAGTCATTATGCAAGGTAGCCTGTTTCCTCTTGTTTTTTCCTACCCCCCCCCCCCCAGATGTTCTGGTTTAACTTGGATTTAAACTTGGAGAGTGGTCAGTTTAGATGAGCTATTACCAGCAGGAGAGTGAGTTTGTGTGTGTATGGGGGTGGGGGGGATGTGAGAAAACCTGGATCTATGCAGGAAATAGCCCGACTTGATTATGTAAAGAGTTGTCACTTTGGATGGGCTAGCACCAGCAGGAGAGTGAATTTGTGTGGGGGGGTGGAGGGTGAGAAAACCTGGATTTGTGCTGGAAATGGCCCACCTTTAGATAAGCTATTACCAGCAGGACAGTGGGGTGGGAGGAGGTATTGTTTCATTTTCTCTGTGTGTATATAAAGTCTGCTGCAGTTTCCACGGTATACATCTGATGAAGTATAAGTAGGGGCATAGCGAGCAGATCGAGGGACGTGATCGTTCCCCTCTATTCGACATTAGTGAGGCCTCATCTGGAGTACTGTGTCCAGTTTTGGGCCCCACACTTCAAGAAGGATGTGGATAAATTGGAGAGAGTCCAGCGAAGGGCAACAAAAATGATTAGGGGTCTGGAACACATGACTTATGAGGAGAGGCTGAGGGAGCTGGGATTGTTTAGCCTGCAGAAGAGAAGAATGAGGGGGGATTTGATAGCTGCTTTCAACTACCTGAAAGGGGGTTCCAAAGAGGATGGCTCTAGACTGTTCTCAATGGTATCAGATGACAGAACGAGGAGTAATGGTCTCAAGCTGCAGTGGGGGAGGTTTAGATTGGATATTAGGAAAAACTTTTTCACTAAGAGGGTGGTGAAACACTGGAATGCGTTACCTAGGGAGGTGGTAGAATCTCCTTCCTTAGAGGTTTTTAAGGTCAGGCTTGACAAAGCCCTGGGTGGGATGATTTAACTGGGAATTGGTCCTGCTTCGAGCAGGGGGTTGGACTAGATGACCTTCTGGGGTCCCTTCCAACCCTTATATTCTATGATTCTATGATTCTATGATTCTAAGTGAGCTGTAGCTCACGAAAGCTCATGCTCAAATAAATTGGTTAGTCTCTAAGGTGCCACAAGTACTCCTTTTCTTTTTGTTCTTGCCCTGTGGCTTTCAAAGATCACGCAGTGCTGGTTCCTCAGGCTCGATGTCGACCTCGGTGCTGGATCTGATGCCAGTCTTGGTACTGCGGGAATGCTTGTGGGTCAAAGGAGGCAGCAGAGGAGGAAGGAAGGAAAGAAGAGGAGGCAACTGATAGCGACCCCCTTGAATACGAACTCTGGGCTGGATGAAATGCCCATGGGGTCCAAAGGGGCCATTGTGCAGGCACTTGCCACTGCACCGGCCAGGGCATAGGGGGGAGAGACTGCCCCGCATCGGGCCTTAGGTGCCGATGCTGTGAGTGGTGCTGACTTATCTTTGAGGCATAAGACTCTGCCTCCAATGGTGAAGACTCGCTCCGTGGTGACCAGGCGGGTCGATGCTGGACGGTGTTGGAGAGCAGTGCTGAACAGAAGGCAACTGGTGCCACGACATGGCTGGCTTGCCTCTAGATGGCACCGAGTGCCTTTGTGGT